TAAGCCCGTCTGAGGGATGCGCCCCCGCACTCGACTCCCATTCAGAATCGTAGTGGCGTAATGAGTGCGTATGTGGCCTATACAATGAATTGCGGTGGCCAGTCGATGTACAAGTCAGTGCAGTTATCCTCCCATACGAGTCTGGTACCAATTCACCGACCCCGGAAGGATGGAGGGCTTGGTTGGCCTAGGCGGGCATCGATCCGGGATTCGAACCCCTGACCGTGCGTGTGATATCAATATTTGAAATAAAAATGTGAAGAAATTACCACTTCGCTAATAAGTACATCAACACCTGAGGAGCAAATTGCTGACAACAACAGCAAGACATACTCACCGATAAATGAAAGTCCATGTTCCTCAGCGAACCTTTGAGCTAACTCTTGTGGAATTTTCCTCACGTCCCTCAAGTCAGTTTTGTTCCCAACTAGTACCACCGATACTCGTTCTGACTGCTCCCTTAGATCGTTCAACCACTGTAGACAAGAATCAAACGAACTCGGCTTTGCTAAACATTATGGTTAATTTTAGCTGTGCACCACTGGACCACTTGACAGTATCCTACCATCACGCAATGAAAGAGAGTTCACATTGGAAACAAGGAAGGAAAGAATTTAATGAAAGTGGAAAATGTTATCCTCACATTAACTTTCTTTGCATGCGATTGGATACAACGAACGAGCATCCATTCTACTCGACTAAGATAAGATCAATCTTATCCCTCCTCTGAAGGAAGGCTACTATTCATATAAAGTCACGATCAAAGCGGTTTCCCAAACATGGATTCGAGGTCCCTCCTGATACCATATGTGCCGATGTCAGGTCGAGAAACGTCCTGGATAGGGCACAGGGGCTAGAGATTGTCTCGTGTGAATGCCCCACCCATAGTGGACGAGTTTCAACGGCTTTGTAGAGGCTGCACAATCTCAAGGGGCTCCAATGTAGGAGGTTCCAACAACTTTTCATGACCCATGGCGGCAGTGAAAAGCAAGTCCGGACCATTTCGGCTTGATATACTCATCTCTTTGCGCAATGGGAGCGAGTTATATCTCGTCCAAATACCCTTACATGCCATTCCCGTCACAGTGATCTCGTACAACTTCCATTCCCACTACTTTTGAAAAGATATGAAGTAGACTGATTTTCTCGCTTCCTTCGCCACCGATGTACTCCTATACATCAACACTTTCGCTTTTCAACCTGAAAAGGGCACCTCAAAATGAAAGTGAACTGTGCCTCCAAGTTTCTTCAAAAGAGGGGGAGAGAAAATGGCTTTTTCTGAAGAACAGCCTTTCTTTGCCGACTAAGCCCATGCCCATATAACCAAACTGATAGTTGGAGGTTTTCTTTTATCTTCTATCTCTCAAGGTGTCAGTAGGTGATGTAGTAACGCTTGATATTGCGTGAACAAACTGCTAGCACCTCATTTCGAAGTATGGCGGTAAACTTACTGATATCGTAAACAATCAGAGCTCCTTGGGCTCCACGATAGTAAGCGGATGTGACGGTTTTGAATCGTTCCTGACCAGCAGTATCCCAAATTTGAGCCATTATCCGCTTATTGTCAATCTAAAACACCTTGGAAGAGTACGGAGTTACTATTCGAAGAAAACTTATGATTTGGTTGTGACTTCACGTGTTGCTGTTTACTAGCTTTTTACAATGGTGCAGATTTGTAACCTTCTCTTCTTGACTTGCCTTTAGAATAACGCGCGGTCGTCAATCTTGGGGATTGGGATGCTGCTGAGTTTTGAGCTTTTTTGTAAATGTCTTTGTTTTTTTTTAAGACGTTGATTCGTTGCGATAAGCAAGTGATGGTTATAATTGAGACAGTATTTTTTTTTTTGAACGTAACAAATCAAAGACCAAAAGCGATCCACTGCAGAATACATGGATTCTATGAGGTTCTGTTAGTAAATAAAAAGTTCCACCAAAGAAAACGTTAGAAATTGAAAAAACTAGCTTTTTCATATCCTATTAATTCAATTAAAGATAAGTCGCGTGCCATAAAAACAGGAACTCATGCCATTTTCACCCTTGCATTTTCTTCACACGTGGCTGAGCCGCCTCAGGAGGGACAGCAAAGTATACCAAAGCCCTATAAACCATTTAGTACGGTGAAAAGCAGGAAATTAGCAGTGCTAGCTCAGCTCCCTATTACCAGCTGTTGAATAGGGCCGGTCTAACATCCAAATCATCGTATACGGTAGCCAACTGACACCCCTCGTCTGAGAAGAGGTACAACTACCACGCGCCCACCTACACATGTTGCGAAACGCTGGATCAATCATTTCAGACCGAATTCTCTTCAAACCGGCTCTAACAGCTCACAACGAGAGCTTTCCGAAGACTCTCAGCGCTTTCGGTTCCTACTTTCGTAATCAACCCTATAAACTTATCAAAACACCGAGGTTCTCGCTCCGAAGTTGCACGAAAAGTCAATCTCTTCCATGATGCTGCTAAGACTTCGTCACTGATAAAAGGAGCACCATTGCCTTTGTCCTCTCTACTGAGTGCCTTAGCCAGTGCATAAAACTGTGATCCACTGGCGCATTTTCAGCATCGAAGTGTCCTCATGTACGGTAAATCTACTTTCATTGTATCGCAAAAGTTAAACATAAAGAAGATGAAAGCTTTCAGAGCTGAAAGTTCAATTTTAGTATCTTGTCCAAGACATGATCGCATATTTGGGTCAAGAGGACCTGACTCAACACAAAAAAAATCCGAAGATATATCGAGAAAACCTGAAGTGCTGAGTCCTCAAAATCCAAAAGCATGCTCAACCCAGGA